GGGGGGGGGGGGAGAATTTGTGAGACTTCGTGACCGGGGTGGGGAGGGGGGGTCTTAAAAGGTCATTTTTAGCGTGACGTAATTTGCGAACGACCCCTATCCCATTGTGACGTATCCTCATTACACCTCAAAATGAAAGTCCTAAGCTCCATCAAATTGAACGCTGCGATATTTAAAAAACCCAAATGGTACCGAAAGTAATCAGATGACGAGAACTTCCGCTCAGACTCCACAATCCCAAACTGGTCTCTTTGTTTCCGATAGTTTCATACGCTTTTTCATGTTTTGGTTTATTTTAATTCAATGTCCCCCATTTCTTTCTATCAACATGAAGGGAAAATAAATTATTGACAAAACTGTATTTATTAAATCTATTTGGTTTGACGTATACAACTTTTAAAAAAAAAATGTTTAAATTTTCTTGTAAATGTTTGGCTAAGTTATGGTACAGACAAACGGGGACATTCAGCCTGGGACAATATAGCTCGTAAATCAATTATGATGTGAAAGTGAATTATTAATATTGTTTTCACAAAATAGAAGTAACATACTTTTTCTATGTCTTAAACTTAAGGAATTTGATTATCGAAATACGGATTTACTCATAATTTTAAATATGTCGGTACTTTGGCATAGTGAAAGGAAATCAAGCCACCAAACATGTTTGTTATGAAAAGTTGACTCCGTGATTCGAATGCAGCGTGTTATAATTTCCATATATTTCATTGTTACACACAAATTGTTCATGTAAGTCAACATTCTATCTTCATTCGACTATACCAATCATTTATTTGTTAATAATATAGTTGACGTCAACAATCATGTTTTCTCTATTAAAATTTTAATCTTAAAAATTGACTGGTTGTTACATTATTGTTAAAAAATGTATAAGTGTAAGTCAGTGCAAATAGTCATATAATTTTAGGCTTTTATTGTCAACAGCACCGACAATGCCCCCTTGAGCATAAGAAATTACCACCTGCTCCTCAACAAAAAAGGATTCGACCAATGCGAGTAACTATAAGGAGATAGTGAGAGCATATGGCAATTATTGCTCACACCGACAATGCTTCTATTTTAAGTGCTGAATGGTTAGTTAAGGATGATGTTGACTTGTCTGGTATATCAGTTCCGCATGATGAAAATGATAAATCAGCTACTACAGACTGTGTCCATCAGGGGCGTCATTTCAGTTTTTTTCAGGGGGAGAGAGAGGGGGGAGCAAAACCAAAACTTGGTCGGCTTGTTAAGTTGTTTATTACTGGAGGCGGCACAATATATAGCAATTTAAATATATGGCATCCTTTCATCTTCGCGAGACGATGGAGTAGCTGTGTTGTCCTACACCGCGTCGAGTGGCTCACTAGACCAATCCTGGAATGATAATCTGCAGGACAATATTGATTCCTGGTTATGTTTGGTCTTCCGTATTGTTATTTTTATTGCACGGTCTTCGTCTCGCAACTTCTGCCTTTTTGACTCCACCATGCACTGCTTTTCGCCATCTGGAACGTTGTTCGGAAATGATCTCCCATTTGTTGATTTCCGTCATGCTGCTTTTGCAAACCTCCTAAAATCTCAGACGTAGCCGTCCAACAGCTCTTGGCCCTTCTGCCAACTCTCCATACAGCAACATCTTTGGGATACGGCCTTCCTCCATTCTCCTTACGTGGCCTAACCAGCGATGGCACCTCTTGCTAATAAAGGAGAAGACGTTAAACATTTTTGCACGTTCCAAGACCTCCCTGTTAGGTACCTGTTTAAATAAAACTTGCAAATTCAGGGGTGTAGGGGCAAATGCCCCCCTGCCCTAACCAAATAATGTCCCTGATGCCCATTGTTACGATAGAGCAACGCCTGGCTACTCCATGGGAAGATGATAGCAGTCAGAAACGTATCTATAATTGTCAGCTTTACTGACAATCATATTTATACCAGCAACAATGATATTCAGTCTTTAACAACATTTCAATTGATTCTGCATTATAAAATTTAAGAGAAAAAACGTTTTAACTTGTTGATTAACCAGCTAAAGATGTAATGAAATGGTTTCCTTGCAATTTTGTGTCATTACAATAGATCAGCACAAAGTAAAATGTATTTATTTTATAAATGTATTTATATTATAATTCATTCGTTTTATTTCTGGTTGTGTTTTTTTTTTTGGGGGGGGGGCTTGAAAATGTTGACAATTTACTTGGTTTGGGGGGGGGGTCATTGAAAGTTTGATAGTTGTTGACAAATGGGAGAGGGGGTCAAAAATTGTTTACAAATTGTTGACGTAATTAATGGTCTTGAAACGCTTGTGAAGCTTTAAGTCTTCGCGACATTGCAACACTATTACTAGCCAGCACTCTTCAGCCCATCTTTATCTTTGTATGTTAGAGGACATGTCGGCACAACACGGTGCACCCTAATCTAAGAACACACCTCTTACTATTCGGTGTTTTAGAATGAAACGCAACGCCGCTGCCGTGACGACAGAGGCATGACACAAGTATCCGATCCTAGCATGTAAAATACAGACTTGGTGCTCCTGATGAGAGTACACAGAGCGAAGCGCGATAAGAGTAACACATGTCTAGCAAGCTTAAGGAGGTCGATAACGCTGAGTGAATCCACAATGCGTTCAATTAGTATTACAGCAGAGACAGCATGACGGTAATGGAAATAGATGATTACAAAAAGTGAAACTTCGATGTTGCTATAATGTTGTTGTTTTGTTTGATATTGTACATTAAGTGATAAAAAAATGAGTTAAATTTGAAACTCACTCCCACCAGAGACACGGGTTTATATATATATAGATATATATTTTTTTTTTTTGCTGGCATCCGCCCGTCACAATGTGTCGACGATGTAGGCTTCGCAGAACAAATCCACAAGGCCTGGGATTATTCTTATTAGGTTAATAAGCTGGTTGCCACACGACATATCGCCCCTCTCCACGCCGGCTGGATCACCCAAGGTAGAGTAACTGATGCCTTTGCAGCACATTACCTTGCCTGGATAGCCATAGGATTGACATGTTAAAAGAAGCGCTCGTCTGAGGCTAACATCAACAGAACCTTGTCAGCAAGGTGAATCGGAAGAAGAGTTTCCTAGGGATAGTATCTGCCAGCCCCAAGTTAGAACTAGTTAGAAAGGTACAGAGAAAATCAGTGATGTTTATGTTTCTGTTCTGTGGTCTCTGCCCCCCCCCCCCTTTTTAGAGATTTTAACAGGGGTAGACGAGGGAGAGGATATGGGTGAAGGAGGGACCCTATCTTACATCCATAGTTGCCGCTTATGTCTTATAACGCCAATCCCCCAATGTCTACGGGATAAGTAACTCTGCGAGGGGCCGCCTTTGACCCGCGTCACGTACCACGTTTTGGTGTCGACCCTTGCTCCGACGACATCACAATCTCAGATGACACACGGCATTATGTGGCTAATGCGTCCTGACCTACATTAAGGAAATGTGTCGCGGGTAGAAGTTCCGCGTGTGTAGACTGTGTATGTTTACCCATTTCCTGGAAGGCTTTCAGTTTAATTTCACAGCATAATGAATCACTGTAACTGATGGATATCAGGCATGCTTTAAAACTGAAATAAGTTTGTTGATCGATTTGTGATTGGAAGCGTTTGCTGAAATCGATCTAAAGGGAAAACCATGGAAAATACAACGGTAAGCTACAAGCAGATTGGTGCCGCATTTTATTTTTTGTATCCACAGTATTTGGGATCAGGGGCGTAGCTAGGGCTGGTGGCGCCCGGGCCTGACCAAGTTGTTGTTTTTTTACCGCCCCGCTTAAAGGAGAACAGCTGTGCAGTTGGTCAAAATGCCACTCTTCCAATTGAACGAAAAATGTGCTGCCAGGGGCGGATCGCACTCACCTCACCCCCTCTTCCAGCGCCACTGTTTTGGAATATATCAAATACACGACCGGTAGATGGGGAGTGTCGCAAACAGTGGTTGATACAGATTTGGATGGGGGTAGGGGACAAGCGTGGTACGTGTCACCATTGTTTATGTTTCCTTGCAATATTGTCTATAGCTGTCAGAAGCCTACCTAACTCTAAGTGTATCATGAAATCCTCCCAGAATTTTATAATCTAATCTAACCATAAGTGAATGCATTGGGCTGATTGAATGATCATAAGGGTGCGGGACAATGTGAAGTGAAAATTGCTGTTTCTTAAGGAAATCACGTGTCGGTTGTGGAATACAAAACAGCAAAAGGGAGGAAGAAATCAATATTTAGGCCCATACATCGACACGATTAGCACTCGTCTCCAACCAACGTGAAACATGTTTGTTTGGCATAGCGTGCATCATATATGTGTGCTTTGATTTATGTTATAGATATTTTGGTGCTCGCGCACCAGCTGTATGCTTGGATTCATGTTAAAGAGTAATTGGTACTTGTATGCTTGGATTCATGTTAAAGAGTAATTGGTACTTGTATGCTTGGATTCATGTTAAAGAGTAATTGGTACTTGTATGCTTGGATTCATGTTAAAGAGTAATTGGTACTTGTATGCTTGGATTCATGTTAAAGAGTAATTGGTACTTGTATGCTTGGATTCATGTTAAAGAGTAATTGGTACTTGCGCACCAGCTGTATGCTTGGATTCATGTTAAAGAGTAATTGGTACTTGCGTACCAGCTGTTTGCTTGGATTCATGTTAAAGAGTAATTGGTACTTGCGCACCAGCTGTATGCTTGGATTCATGTTAAAGAGTAATTGGTACTTGCGCACCAGCTGTTTGCTTGGATTCATGTTAAAGAGTAATTGGTACTTGCGCACCAGCTGTATGCTTGGATTCATGTTAAAGAGTAATTGGTACTTGCGCACCAGCTGTTTGCTTGGATTCATGTTAAAGAGTAATTGGTACTTGCGCACCAGCTGTTTGCTTGGATTCATGTTAAAGAGTAATTGGTACTTGTATGCTTGGATTCATGTTAAAGAGTAATTGGTACTTGCGTACCAGCTGTATGCTTGGATTTATGTTAAAGAGTAATTGGTACTTGCGCACCAGCTGTATGCTTGGATTCATGTTAAAGAGTAATTGGTACTTGTATGCTTGGATTCATGTTAAAGAGTAATTGGTACTTGTATGCTTGGATTCATGTTAAAGAATAATTGGTACTTGTATGCTTGGATTCATGTTAAAGAGTAATTGGTACTTGTATGTTTGGATTCATGTTAAAGAGTAATTGGTACTTGCGCACCAGCTGTATGCTTGGATTCATGTTAAAGAGTAATTGGTACTTGCGCACCAGCTGTTTGCTTGGATTCATGTTAAAGAGTAATTGGTACTTGCGCACCAGCTGTATGCTTGGATTCATGTTAAAGAGTAATTGGTACTTGCGTACCAGCTGTATGCTTGGATTCATGTTAAAGAGTAATTGGTACTTGCGCACCAGCTGTATGCTTGGATTCATGTTAAAGAGTAATTGGTACTTGCGTACCAGCTGTTTGCTTGGATTCATGTTAAAGAGTAATTGGTACTTGCGTACCAGCTGTATGCTTGGATTCATGTTAAAGAGTAATTGGTACTTGCGTACCAGCTGTATGCTTGGATTCATGTTAAAGAGTAATTGGTACTTGCGTACCAGCTGTATGCTTGGATTCATGTTAAAGAGTAATTGGTACTTGCGTACCAGCTGTATGCTTGGATTCATGTTAAAGAGTAATTGGTACTTGTATGCTTGGATTCATGTTAAAGAGTAATTGGTACTTGCGTACCAGCTGCATGCTTGGATTCATGTTAAAGAGTAATTGGTTCTTGCGTACCAGCTGCATGCTTGGATTCATGTTAAAGAGTAATTGGTACTTGCGTACCAGCTGTATGCTTGGATTCATGTTAAAGAGTAATTGGTACTTGCGTACCAGCTGTATGCTTGGATTCATGTTAAAGAGTAATTGGTACTTGCGCACCAGCTGCATGCTTGGATTCATGTTAAAGAGTAATTGGTACTTGCGCACCAGCTGTTTGCTTGGATTCATGTTAAAGAGTAATTGGTACTTGTGCACCAGCTGTATGCTTGGATTCATGTTAAAGAGTAATTGGTACTTGCGTACCAGCTGTATGCTTGGATTCATGTTAAAGAGTAATTGGTACTTGCGCACCAGCTGTATGCTTGGATTCATGTTAAAGAGTAATTGGTACTTGCGTACCAGCTGTATGCTTTGATTCATGTTATAGGGTCATTAGTACTCGCGTACCAGCTGTATGCTTTAATGCAGTGAATTCCTTCTTGTTCTTATTTACGTTCTTCATAATAAAATAAAGCAAACAACTGTGGTTACACGAGGAAACGCAATGAACATATTCTAACACAGAACCCTCAAAGAATTTTTAATTGTGTATTGACTCTCTCGTCCTCTCCTCGGTGCTTGACCAATCCAGCTCCTTTTTTCTTCTCTTTTCTCCACAGGACACACGTCTGATCTTTCCGATATTTTCTTTTCAACATCTTTTATTTTGAAATTTCTTTTGCAAACATCTGTTGATAAAAATCTTTTGGTTTTCTTTCACCTTATTCATTTTTTTTTCATTTTTTTTTCTGATTCAGTCCATTGGCCTCCAGGGCTTCAATATCTACGTCATCAACCACTGGCTTCTCATTGCAATCGTCCCCATCCTAGTGCTACTGTCTTTCTTGGAGAAGAGAAAAAGCCACCAGGACATCTGTCAGGGCCGCCCAGCACTCATCATACCATTCTCATTCCTGGATGGCTTCGACAACAGAACAGCCTACGCCATGGCATTTGGCACCATCACCAGCACCATCGTTTCGCTCATCACGTCAGAAAACACCCTTGGATTCGATCTGCCTCTGTGGGGCAAAGCGCTGTACGTGTACCTTCAGGCTTTCATCGGTTGCTTGACGTGTTTCCCGCTGTTCGCTTGCCTCTCCACCAGGTACCGGGCCCTCGGAACCATCATCTGCATATTTTATTCGGCGCTGTGGTTGAGTCTGAACATGGTTCAGACGATAAAAAACGTGCAAGAGAGCGCCAACAACACCCTGTGGTTCGGCACATCCCAAGACCCTGTCCTGCTCAACTTGGCCAAGGCGAGTGCAGTTCTGCAAGGTCTCCCGTCAATCTGCTGCTACGTGGTTCTGATCGGATATTGCATCTTCATCCTCCAGCGATGCATTCGCTCGGGTGTGTATATGAACAAACACGTTCCAGGAACTGTGAAGCCACACCAGGAAGAGCATGTCCGGTGGGTTTTCCGAAAATCCAAGGACAAGACCTTAAACCCAGGAGGCTTCATGTCAAACAAAACATTTGTGGAACTCATGCACCAAGACAGGAAACTAAAACTTTTGAAAAGTCTTCCGTTCTTCAAATACCCAACCCGAATATTTGCTGTTGCGTTTGTTCAGCTGAACATCATCTACTGGATGGGGATGCTGCTCATCTCAGGCACGATCCAGGCGCTCTACAGCATTTTCTTATCCGTTATGAAGAAGAGCGAGATCACGTCTGCCGACCGTGAACAAATCGCCATCGTCTGCATCTGCGCTTCTGTCTCTCTCCTCGTTTCGATTTCCAATTCACTCGTGCACATTTTGCTGGCCACGAGAAATTACCGCTACCACATGCTGAAAATTTACCAAGGCGACAAGTCGTTCTTGCCTAGCGCCACAGCCGCCTCGTCGCAGTACGTGCTGACCAGCAGCATGATCTACCCGGGCTACCAGATAGCGTTCATGATGTGGGGCTTGGTTCTCAGCTTCGGTTTCATTCTTTTGATATCTCTGCTGGTCGCCGAGCCTCTCTACTTACTCGCCAGCTTTGACATGCTGGGGAAAGCTTTCCGTAAACTAGGAGAGCTGCTCAGCTTTCCCGCCACAATGCTTCTGTTGTTCTACATTCAGGTCTTCGTCAGTAAAAAACTTTTACTTCAAGACAAGGTGACGCCTTTGGATAAGTACCCGCCTCTCAATGTCAACAACAGAAAACTCTACGAGTTGGTGAACTACTATTCTATTTTCACCAACATGGCCGTCGGTTTGTTTACGTGTCTGTTTCGAATAGCTTTGAGCGCGTTTTTTGGAATATTTTCAGTCGACCGCTTGGACAAGAGCGTCTTCACCCGGGACATGGAGAAATTCGACAACGGTTACAGGGCGTATCTGTCCATGCTGCTGGTGGACAATGCGCACAACAACCCAAGCATGAGGGTGTTCGCGCACCTGCTGTGGACCAGAACACTGGCGGCACGTTTCAGGAACAGTCAGAGCGAGCCGGGATACCGCGATGAAACACCTCTGAGCCCACCCAGTCCCCGGCTTGACCACAGGTCATACGGCGCAGCGGCTCTGGCTTCCAGAGGAGGTCCCACCATTGTGGAAGGTTTTGACAATTCTTGGACGCACTGCGACATCAACAACTGCGCTGTCTCTAAACCGGCGAGGATTCGTTGGTTCCTTGCCTACACTCTGATACGCAACCCACAGTTGGGGAGATTCAGGAAACAATGCCTGGCGCTCTCCGAGGACAGCAGCTTGATAAATTTGGCAAATAACGATTCGGTCGAACACAGTGAGATAATCTCATTCAGCTAAACAGACTTATGAAACACTGTCTGGAGCACTCTGAGGACAAATTTGTTAAATTTAGCAGATAATGAGAGAATCTCATTGAGCTGAGCATGGACTAATAAGGAGGTTTTGATACATGTTTTTAAAATTTGATCATCAAATGACTCATTGGGTATAACTCACACATTCCTGATCTGAACTATTTCTAATAAGGATGTTTTGATACATGTTTTTAAAGTTTAATCATCAAATGACTCATAGGGTAAAACTCACACATTTTCTGATCTGAACTATTACTAATGGATCCCTTCTACACTTTGGAGTTTTCATTTTTTTTTCATTCTATTTAAAATCTCACAAATCGCACACATTAATTCATATTATTATTTTATAAATAGATACATTTTATCCACATAGGCTATTTTTCCCCATCCCAAATAAACTTTAACTTCAGAGTGAGATGCGAAGCACACGACTGAAGGTCTTTAGGAGAACGTCCTCATGACAGCAGATTTCCTGCAGGATTTGATTAAATCAGGGCGGTTAGACGGAGATCCTTCACATAACTGATACGCGAGCAGAAATTAAGGCAAAGCGTTCAATCAGACTTCCTACAGAATTCCTAGGCAAAATGTTTAATGGCTCATGTATTTCACACTTTGACTAGCGCCATGCATTACATAGAGTGCCTGGTGGGACCAAGGCAAAGTATATAGTAACACATAAAGGGATTCGATTTATAAATAAGTGAACAGCATAAACTAATTTGAAGCAGCAGCTGTTATAAATGTTCTAGTTTGTTGAATGCCCCTGGAAATTACACAGTACTTTTTCTTGTTAAACTAAATCATTTTCTATTCGACACTTGGTGTTACATGTGCACTTGGCAAATCCTTGTCCAGTTCCAGTAGACTGCTGTGTTCTGAGAGAGATTTGTCGACTGGACATATGTATATATAGGAAAGAATTTTGTTAAATGCATGCATAACACCAAGAATCAAAATAAATATAAAATTATAAATAATGCAATTATATTTCAGACTACTGCAATAAATTGAAATAAAATCTGGAGACTGATAGATATATAAATATATAGATCTGATATATAATATATATATATATATATATATATATATATATATATATATATATATATATATATAAAAATATCTTCCCCCCTTCTTTTTTTTTTTTTTTTTATATAAATAAATATATATAAAAATATATATAATATAAAAATATATCAGACTACAGCAAAAAATATAAATAAAATCTGGAGACAGATATATATATATATATATATATATTATATATAATATATATATATATATATATATATATATATATATATATATATATATATATATATATATTAAAATGACTTCGCCCCTGCTTTTTATTATTTTGTTTATATAAACTCCAATCCACTTCATGTAATTATATACTTATATACCAAGTCCAGTCAGACATTCTAAAGAAATCATGGATGACACATTTTGCCTGTAACACAGACGAACGGGAGAGGCAGTGGATGAATTGTGCATACATGTCTGGACTTTCAAAAAACAATTTCTTTTACCGGGTAATTCTGTTTTTACTGATTTTTTTTTTTTGCTGATGAAGGCTTTTTACCGACATGTTCGTTGTTTTTTTCCAGGTTTTCCAATACTTTGTTTCGCTCATCTCCATTTGTACAACCGATTGTCATCGGACCCGAAGTTAGTGCCCTTAACGGTATCTTAATGATATGTTTCTCAGAACAGGCCAGCCATTTTTTTTTTGGTCCTTCTGTGCCCCTTGCGGTTTGTTTGTTTCACTTCTTGAAATTCTGGGAAAAGTTGGTTACATTCAGCAGTTGGGTACAGTTACATTGGCATTCAGCAATTTGTTACATTGACATTCTGCAATTTGTTACATTGACATTCAGCCATTTTTTTACATTGAGATTCAGCATTATGATATTGTCACCAAAGTTTGAGGATAAAACAATACAACACTTTGAGAAAGCTGGTCGTTCAGTTTGACATCAGTTTCATTATCCTACACTTGGTCGTGATTTTTGATCACTTGGTCGTCATATTTGATCACTTGGTCGTCATATTTGATCACTTGGTCGTCATATTTGATCACTTGGTGATATTTTATTCCATTCAGCCTAGATTTGTAACACTCTTACCAGTTAATTATAAAGATTTCTAATTTGGTTTATTAATTAGGAAATGTTAAAGATTAGGTTTACATGTTCAGCCCCCCCCCCCCCAACCACCCGACGCACGTCTTCACCCTTTTTATTCCATTCAGCCTAGATTTGTAACACTCTTACCAGTTAATTATAAAGATTTCTAATTTTGTTTATTAATTAGGAAATGTTAAAGATTAGGTTTACATGTTCAGCCCCCCCCCCCCCCAACCACCCGACGCACGTCTTCACCCCGGTGATATTGAAATCTCTTATCATTGTTTAGTTGCAATTGCTTACTTAAATCCTGGATGATTGATTATTGATTCAGAGATAAATGCGTGGATCAAGATTAGAGTCTGAGCTTCGTGCTGCAAAAGTTTATCGTCAGGGACCTACCTGCTGTTGCCCATGGACAGGGGCGTTATCTCAGGTTTGTTCAGGGGAAAAAAGGGGGGGGGGCAAAACTTGGTCGACTTGTTATAAGTTGTTTATTACTGGAGGCACCACAGTACATAGCAATTTAAATAAACCTGCAAATTCATGGGGGGGGGGAGGGGGGCAAATGCCCCACCCTGCCCTACCCAAATGACATCCCTGCCGACGGACCCAATTGCAGTTGTCAACAACGGACTTACTTTCTTATACAAATACATATATGTACTTGCACCATCATTTATTAGAGAACAGACTGTTTGTTGTTTTAAACATAACTGCCATGTATTGATCGGTATTTTCTTTTTCAAGTAAAATCTCTATAAGGTCTCATTTTTACAATTTGGATAATAAAAATATTTTACTGCTATTCCAGTTTATTGACTGAAGAAGGGTAACATTAACTTCATTGAGAAATATTTTTTAAAAAAATCTTTAATTAAAGATTCATTAAAGAGTGCGATTAAAATTGACATGTTTTTATCCATTACATTTGATTGTTGTGTCCAAATTATGTTGTGCAGATTCCATTCCATTGGCTGTGTACACACCATTTTGCTGTGGTTCTTGGGCTCACTGGTGGTTCTTGAGTTCATTGGTGGGTCATTTGGTAACAGCCATAGCCAGGCCTGAGGCGAGATTCCTGATGCTGATGTAGTGCTGATATTTTTTCCTTACATGAAATTTGCAATATTTTTAATATGTATCTTGTTGCTTTAAAATATTCAGCCCGCCTCTCCAATACTTTACTATTTTCCGTGATTAATTCTCCAAAGTATTGGAGAGGTGGGCTGAATATTTTGAGGACACACCGAATGCAGACAATAGACAAGATGAAGATTATCACCCTCCACAGGGAGGACCAGACACTTTTATACAATGCCCAACTCTAGAAGAAACCAAAGAGGTAATTAATTATAATTACATGAAAAATCACAAAGCCCCCGGACAAGACCTTATCACAGCAGAACTGATTAAATATGGAGGAAAAGAACTACACAATCAGATACATAAAGTTGTAACTAAAATTTGGCAAGAAGAGAAAATCCCAACAGAATGGGAAACAGCATTAATAACCCCAATTCACAAGAAAACTCCAAACTTCGGTGCACAAACTACAGAGGAATCTCCCTATTAAATGTTACATACAAAATACTGACGAAGCTTATTGCCAAAAGACTACAACCTTACACTGAAGAAATACTAGGTGATTACCAATGTGGATTCAGGCCTAACAGATCAACAAATGATCAGATTTTCACCATCAGATGCCTATTAGAGAAATGCTATGAAATTAATACACCAGTACATCAACTCTATGTGGACTATAAAATGGCCTACGACAGCATCAAAAGAAACTATTTATATGAGACTCTGCAGGTGTTTGGGATACCCAACAAACTAACAAGACTAATACATATAACACTAAACAACTCAAAAAGCAAAATCAAGATTCAAGGAGAATATTCAAGGGAATTTCATATTGGACGAGGCCTAAGACAGGGAGACTCACTGTCTTGTATGCTCTTTAACCTAACATTAGAGAGCGTAATTAGAAAAATACATATTGACACTCGAGGAACTATAACAGGATACTTTCTGAGGGAAACTCAAGACTCACAACCAACGGGCACACTCTACAACCAACCACTTCAGTATCTTGCATATGCTGATGACATAGCACTTCTAGGGAAAAATATTAAAGACATATCAAAATCCTTTATTGAATTAGAAGACGCGTCTCTACAAGGAAGGCTGGAAGTTAACAACCAAAAAACAAAATACATGACCATGATAAGAGAGGAACAAACAGATGAAACAATTAAAATTAGAAACCAAACTTTTGAAAAAGTAAATCAATTCAAATACCTAGGATCCTTGTTAAATGAAAGAAACGAATTACTAACAAAAATAAAAGAAAGAATATCAGCCAGAAACAAGGCATACATCAGAAGTCAGAAAATACTCAAAAGTAAAAACATTACAAGAGAAACAAAGAAAACTATTTATAAAACTGTAATCAGACCAGTTGTAACATACGCAAGTGAAACTTGGACCCTAACAAAAACAGCAGAAAACCTATTAAACACATGGGAGAGGAAAGTTCTCAGGAAAAAATATGGGCCAACAAAGGATGAATATGGATGGAGAATACGAACCAACCAGGAGTTATACAGTCTATATCAGGATCCCACAATAGTGGCAGAAATAAAAAGAGGCAGGCTACGCTGGGCAGGACACCTAGAGAGAATGCCAAATGACAGAGGAACGAAGAGGGTGCATCAACAATACCCCAGAGGAAAAAGGCTCAAAGGCAGACCTAGGCTTAGGTGGATAGATGATGTAGAAAAAGATCTACAGCAGCTGAAAGTCCAAGCATGGAAAAGAAAGGCATTAGTTAGGTCTGAGTGGAAGGAAGTGGTGAGGCAGGCCAAAGCTCTACATGGGCTGTAGCGCCACAGGGATGGATGTATGTTGTTGCTGCTAACAGAAATATCTTGTGGAGATTGTTATTTTTAAATCAAAAGCAAATTATAGGCAGGGTTTCTGAAACATTGTCTTAAGCTTAACCAGCTATGCTTTTCATTTAAAAAAAAAAAAAGGGAATTTGATAATAGATTTAGCACTTTTAAATCAGAATGAGCTCACCTGACTTAAAAGACAGTATTGACCCATATCAACTATTTTCTAGTAACAACATGTTCGTGTTTTTTTTGGGTTTTTTTGTGGGGTGGAGGGGGTCAGGGGGTGGGGGTCAAAATAAGTTCAACATACAACTCTGAAAAAACAATTGTTAGATGAAATGTGTGCAGTTTCAGACATCATCCTGAATGTTGTCTTGTGCCATAAAGAATAATAATGACCATAATATTTCTCTTTGTCCTACTTTTATCTACATATTAAGTTATTTCCAACACTACATAGACACTGAAATAGTCAATGGTAATCATAGAAGCGATCACCGGGCAAGTCAGGATTAGGACAAAGTTTACAAAGTCAATAAATGTCATAAAAATATAACAATAATTTGTTAAAATAGCAAACAACTTAATGTATTTGGTAAAAAATTGATATTTAATTGTAAAAACTTAAATACATTCTGAAGATAATAAGGTGGCTTTGGCAGTTTTAATTTACAAGTTTAACAAATAAGTTACTCATAAATTTAAATTGCTTAAAAAAAAAATTTAAAAAATCTCATTCCAAATTTTGTACAAGAACTCAAATTGATAACAAAAGAATGATCCAATCTGGATACAATGACTAATAACATAAATTATGGTCGCTGAGATGAAAAAATTAAGTAATATCTGAAATAAATAACATTTGCAAAACAATTTTTTTTTATCATAAACACTGTGTATCGTAATGGTAATAACATAAATACACAACCAAGCTCAGGGTTTGGAAGAGAAGACAACAAATGGGATAAGATTTTATATGCTCTTAGTCTAGCATCAATGGATACACACAGCAAGAAATTTGTCATTTACTACTTAAAGAAATGGTCGAGGCTTTATGTCTAGCATTATAGAACAATATCATCAGAAATACATAATATATCATATATGTATGTTGTCAAAAAGTGCAGCAACTTTGGAGCAGTAGGTAAGAAATGAAGTATTTCAGAGTAAGAAGTCTTTTCCATGAACACAGTCACTAAATGATGAAAAAATTTTACCTCGACTACTGGATAACTGACAAGATGTGACTTTAGAAAAATTAAGACCCCATAAAGTATTTGCCAAATTTGTAGATACTACCACTTTGACATTCTGAATAACCAGCAGGAGGTCCAAAACTGTATGTTCAATAGTTACATTTTCTGGTTATCATATTCAATAATTCAAGAAAATATAATATGAAAGATACCAATAAACTGCTTTTTTATGACAATCTTCGTAACTTATGGAAAATAAAATAAACTTCTGTTTTTTTTTTAAAATTTTTAATGCAAATATAATGTTTAGTGCTTAGTCTTTTTTTTGAAAAGAAATCCCATTATTAAATGTCTTATTAATATTTTTCAGAAAGGAAAATCTCTGATAAAAAAAAAAAACAAAATTACATCTAATCCAATTTATGGGGACGTTTTAAGAAGCAGCGTCTTATGAAAATTAATATCATTGCAATTGTTTTCATAGTTAAATCTATATAATATAATATATACCGGTAACAATCATATTTTAGTATGATATAGCAGCACTGTGTAAGTAGTTATAGTCAGGTACACAACAGGAATGGTTTTAATAGCCTCGCCTAAAATCTACTCTGTTGATCATTGGTTGACCAGCCCTGTACAGCTGAAGATTGGTCATAAAAGTTTGCACAGCCTGAGATAAGAAAAGAAATTTCATAAAAATTAATGATGTTGAGATTGGGTTCAAAATCATTAAGAGAGATTTGTTTATGAAAATACTTATCATAGATATATATTCATTTGTTTTTAAAATCTCTGGATGATTTCAATAATTTTATTTGTTTATTTTTATTTTTGACAATCACTGTCATCATTGTTTATCCTATTTGCTTAAATCTCTTAACAAGATAAGAAATAAGATTATGTTCCAAACTAAAAATTTGTTACATTTGTTATATTTTCAGCATCTGTAATATTTTGATGCGGTTAACAATTTAAACTAATATAATATAAAACCTGGTTTAAAACTGACATATTTTACCAAATAGATAATATATTTGGCTGCTTCATTAACTTAGCTGCAACATACAAGCCAGCCAATACCAGTTACCCAGACAAAATTATTTTTTAGACTTGATTCGTCTATGCACATTTCTGAAGAATTCAGCTTAAAATAATTAAGAACATAATATGGCCACCGAGCTTGTCAAAAGAGTTATAGACATATTTTCTTTCTTAAAATAGTTTTATATTTCTCATTTCTTTTTTCTTCTTGCACCATTGATCAAGACTCTACCTGCAAATCAAAAAGACATTATCTCTTCCTAAAGTCTTGGCCTGATTTGTCAGAGGGTCTAATAGGGGCAGGTTTTTATGGAACAAAGAACTTAAAAAAAAATAAAAAATTATGCATTTTAAAATAATATGATAATTGTATTTGTCAGCAGGTATAGGACACTTAAGTGTAATCCCATTTCAGACAATACTTATTAAACAATGTCAAAAAAATATTTCTATTGAATATTAAATCCACCCCACAAACCTTGTTGGTATCAGTAATCCCACTAACATGAGGTGTTATTGTCACGCCTGGCGTCTTCCACAGGGGACTTGAGCTTGGCAGAGGTTCTGTATTAAACACGTCAAGTATCGCACCCCCCAACCAACCACGGCTAGAGAAATAAAAAAACAAGTCCATCATTACCAACTGAGCTTTCTTATTTTATATGTAAGTAATAAATGTGCTCAGGGCATCAATGAATAAGCCTCATAATGCTTTAACTCTCACATGGATAACATGCAATTTGTATGCATTTATGGGTATACAGATAATTATGCAGGAAGATGACACAAAAATTTGTTTTATCAAATGGCCGAGTGGTTTAGGGTTTCTAAGACCTTTAGATAGTACTGTAAGAGATTGTTCGTAATGAAGTAGGCCTATGCTTAAAATATGATTAATTCAGTTTTAATAAAGAAAAAAGTTGCACAACTTAATTAATTTTCTTTATTAACATTTGTAAGACTGACTTGAAATTTTTGAAAATCTATGAAGTAAATTTTCATGTAACTTAAAAATATTAGCTAACAAATTCTAAAATATCTTGTGCAGCTAATTTGATATTTTCCAAAACATTTATATTTCCTACTTAAAGGGCAATAATGTGACATGAAAGTTTCAGGTTCTAGACTAAAAAACCAACTTTTAGACATTAGAAAACATACTTGAGAGCTTGAACTAAACTTTCATCATCCACAACATCACCTCGTCCGATGTTAATAAAGACAGTTTTCTGAAAGCAAAAATGAGACTATGTACTTATAATTTTGTAATTATTTTTTATGAAATGCATCATCTGTATTGTATTGGTGGTAAATTTATCAGTTTGGTAAAACAGGAACCTATAATTATATGGTCACCTTCTTTTCACATGACTTGAGAACCTCTCCACTAAGAAGCCCTCTAGTTTGCATTGTACTGGGCAAGATATTTACAAGGTAGTCCACTTCTAAAACCATTTCATGCAGAAGGGAAATGGGCCTAGAAATAAATGGCATATTTTATCATATCAACATGTCACCTTTTATTTTGTTATTGTGTTAAGCATTTTACAAATCAAGAAAACTCATCTGATAATTATCTCCCATTATTATTCACAAAGTGTGCTGGTTAAGGGTGACAATAATATAGTTACCATTTTTATTCATTAAAATATCTAGATTGTACAGCTTGATTACCGTATTTTCCGGCGTATAAGATGACTTTTTAACCCATTAAAATCTTTTCAAAAGTCAGGCATTGTCTTATACGCCGGGGATCGTCTTATGAGCTGGTATACAGCCCAAACCCTAGATTTTAACTGGAAAAGTAGGGGGTCCTCTTATACGCCAAGTCGTCTTATACGCTGGAAAATACGGTAGTTCAAAATATTACTGAATGTAAGCAACCATTGCTCTAAATGAGGTTTATCCATGTATCAAGCATGCTTTAAGGGGAGGAGTAAGGATGTCAGATTAGGGTATGTTGCAAAAGTATGGGGTTAGGGGCAGTCTCAATAAATACATAATTACATAGAATTATTACAGTCATAGAATGGTCATAAAACAATAATTATTCATCATTCCTAAAAAACAAAGAAAACAACATGAAAACACATGACGTTCAACAGTGGCAATGGAATGAGGTCATAAGTTGTGTGAATGTAAAAAAATGGATTGGAAAGCACCTTGGCTCAAATCAATACTCGAACTCACCTGAAATTATGCACATGTTCACATTTGACTTCATCAGAAATGAATCGTTCGTCTCTTAAGGTAGCCCAAACAGTCATATTTAGTGCCTTACACTGTCGAGCAACTGAACATGAGATAAAACACATGACATTGTAAAGAACTTTTGTTTATATTACGCTACAATTCATGCTTTTAAAACAGTTTCAGTCTTGAGAAGCAAGAATTAATTTAATTTATTGGACACTGCCAAAATTTTACATTCAAAATAGTTTATCTACTGGAACTATTCTCCTTTCACTTAAATTAAAGTTTTTAAATCACATTTTTAAAATTCTATCTATATTATTGGTTTGTTTCATAGATGAAATAATTGTGAAATGGTTCTTAAATTTTTCATTTACTAAAACAAACCTTCAGCCCCTATGGTCCCTAGACCTAAAATTCCAATAGAAAGGGTATCAAGATTTCGGTAGCTTATTAAATCAGATCTGTAACTGTAACAAAAATTATAAGATTCATTTTTGTTACAGATAAAACATTCTGAAATATTTTTAAAATGTTTTGATCCATATTTAAAACTTTTATAAACAATATTGATTGCTCTGAGAAACAAAAAGCATAGTCTAGTAAAGTGTCTATAAAAATTATTTCACAAATTAAATAGATATATTTTATTCTTGTATCAAACTGAAATGTCTTCTTGGTTAATGAAATTAATAAAATACTTTATTGTTCTGTGAATTTAGAAACGGTTTGTAATCCTGGTTGCTGCTGAACCTCATATGTGAGCTTATTGGTGTGGTTTTTTTTTAATAAGAGAAATTTTATATATGATATTAGAATAAAAAAATTATCCCAAACATTCTTTTGTAACAATAACACTAAACTAAAGTTCCTACTCGTCATAAGATGACTGTCGCTGTAGGTCATTCATGAAGGAAAATTTTCGTTCTCTTGCAATTATTTGACCAATGACATATTCTCCCATAGACTGACCAAAACCACCTGTCTGTCGACAAACTATGGCACTTGGAATCTCCTGAAACAAATAATAATTTAATTCTTACTTGGACAACAGTATTATAATTATAATAATTACAGGACTGTCTAATGTATTTTTATTCTACTGAATTGATGGCAATAAAAAAATAAAAGGTTAATATGTGTGAAATAATGTTATTTTAAATGTTGAAAACTATCAACAATGAGATTTGGGAATATCTTTTTTAACTATCAACGAAACAAAAAAATTGGTTACGGACCTCAATTTTGTTAACTGCTTTGATGATTGGCTCCACACCTTAAAAAATTGTCAGAAAAATACTGATTGAAATAGAGCAATAATGGTACTTGAAATCATTATTGTCAACATTTTATTATAACCTTAAAACTTGTAACCACTGAAAATATTTTCTTGTGTTTAAAAAAATCTGTTTACATATCAACACGAAATTAAACCCTCAGATTGTGATTCTGACTTTTCAGTGTAATGATCAAACTGTGATGAAGTATTGATTAGTCTCTCATCATTATTGTATAAATATTTTACCATATAGCATTTAACCAAGTAGAAGCATGTGCTTATTGATATGTATGTCTATTAGCTGAGTTTATTTAGTTAGGTACCTGCAAAGGTACTTTGTGCCCATTTCAGACTATTTCCGGGATCAGAAAGAACTTGCCCAATTACAGATGGGTCGGCAAATAGGTATTCAATTTCAGGAATAATCTTCAATCCCTCTTCAGAAAGAGCTAAAAATAATTATAATTATTAGAAAGCCTTGGTAAAAAAATTGGTATTTCATAGGCCATATAAAGTAAATATTTTTCATGCATTAAATATAATGATATTCTCCTTCCTTCTCAAGCAAAGATGAACAAGACTTGAGTTGCTCCATATTTTGTTTAAAGTGAGGGGAAAGTTGCAGAATTCATCAGCCTCACATTCTCGTCCTTTCATATTCTGATCCAATGGCAAAAGTTTGTCAAGACGTCTGGAAAATTGGCTAGGATGCAGTGGATGACCAGCAGTTTTTCTTGTGTTTCACCCTGCTCTTTGTGCATGCCATGGCCATGTGACACTCGCAGGACAAGCCAGAATTTTCATTGTGTCAATGTCAGAGAGTCAATAGGACCACTTCTCTTGGTTTGAATTCATAGTTTGCCTTCTCTCTTGGTTGTCCTCCAAGGTTAACGAGTGCCATACACCTATGGCGCTGGCGTTTTTCTTTTTTTTTGCTTGTCCAGGTTTTTGCTGTGGATTGAACTTCAATCAACATTTGGAATTGAAATCTTTTAACTGCACAGCCACATTATATATAATATTTGCAGCAGTACAATCTTTTATAATCTAACCTAGTGATAATCAATGTTTTTAACAAGAACATTAATCTCATCACATTAAAAAAACACCAACGACCCTCAGTTAAAATGAGAGATTTTAAATTTAAAGTTAATTATATATTGACAATTAGAGCTCCCCATTTACACCTTTCACTTTTAGACAACTCATAAGGCCCTATGTGGCGAAGTAGAGGAAACTTACAATTTTCGGATGTGGAAAAGGAAAGCTCCTGAACTATTACGTCACCAATTGACTTCTTAAGGCAGCTCGCGATATTTGAAATTTTGCTTACAACAAACACTTTTGAAACTTCTACACACGCTTTGGTTGCCATTGTGAACTTTGAACTCACAAAAAGAAACCCCTACTTACCGATACATGAGAATATATATCCGAAGTAGTTTTAGATGTTGACCATGCATCATGGTGTTTTTTAAATAAATTATTGAAATAAAGAAACATTTTAAAAATTCATACTTTTGATTCACTGTTGGGACAACCAACACCTAGAAATATTAATATTGCTTTTTTGCTGACTGTAAAAAAACAATTGTCTAAGCATTAACTAAATCTAACTTTTGTTGGCACACAAATATCTAAACAATATTCTATATTTACAAGGTAATAATGCTCCCTCTAGAATGTTCAGTGTGGTGGATGGACTTATGCATATAGGTGTGCAATCAATGTTCCAGCAGACTGGAGAACAGCGCATGTCACTCCAATCTACAAGAAAGGGGAGCATTCCGACCCTGCCAACTATCGTCTGACTTCCCTCACCAGCGTGGTCTGCAAACTGTTAGAGCACATAATTGTAAGCACAGTCATGAAGCATCTTGAAAGCCAAAATATACTCAATGACTGTCAACATGGCTTCCGAGTCAATAGATCATGTGAGACCCAGCTTCTTGAATTTGTAGAAGACCTGATGACCAATCTGGAGAACCACAAGCAGGCTGACGTGCTGGTAATGGACTTCGCAAAGGCATTTGACCGTGTGAATCATAGTTTGCTTCTACACAAACTCCAGAGATATGGGATCCAAGGCACAGCTAAAACATGTATCTCATCTACATGCATAGGAGCCAAAATGATCAATAAATTGATCGTGAGCCCTTAAGATTTAGAAGAAGAAGAAGAATTTATATCTAAATCACCACATTGCTGTATACAATGCTTAAGTGAGTTAGTTTTTCACCTGCATAAGTTTTAAAGCAAATTTTTTAATTTTACAATTCATACTGTTTGTGATTTGAAAACAACTGAATCAATAATTAAAAAAGAAAATATATTAAAAATACATAGGCCTAAAAGCTTTAAAATTGTTGAGAGTGCTAAATTTAAAGCTTGTGGACATGTACAAGTACGAAGTAACAATCCCAAGACATTTTTATTACTTCTTTACAAAATGACTTAATAAGTCTGGCATTTGAGTAGTTTTGTGTTTTTGCGCATGAAAGCAAAAGATTGTTAACTTTTTTCTCCACATGAAAATCAATGGCAGCATTTAAACAAATGGTTTGGTATAATGTAAACAAATCATATATAATAATACTTCTCGAGTGGATCTTGTCTGCCTGTTTTTCATTGCAGACCATGCTGACTCTCATTCGTTGTTGCTTCCCCCATCATCCGCATCACACAAGAAGACATTTGTTATCCGTGCTGTGTTCAGGGCAGGTAGCCACATTTAAATGTTGAGACTTTCACTGATTCCATATTTGTCTGCCTTAAAACTACCATGGTATCAGTACACTACTCACCATCAATACCCAATGTAACAATATCAGTACCTGTCACTAAATATTCTATACATAAGAGTCAATACAACTAAGCGTTGATACATATATGGAGTGCAAACTGGAATTATTATTATAGATTAGGCACCTCTTCTTGTATTTTACACATGCAACATAGTTGCGTTGCCCCAGCTAGTATAGAATATGCAATTTTTATAGGAGGCTAGATCCTACAGTAGTTGTAATAACTATATCATAAGGCAATCATCACATCTTTAACATAACTTTTTTCTACAGCCCACCAAAAGCCAAATTAGGGGTTAAGTCTTGACACTGCCACGAAATGTGTGATAGCAAAATAAATGAACTGTGTCAACATTGTGGATATAAAATGTATGTTCTAGGGCCCTAAAAAAGTTGGGCAACCCATGATGTAGCGAGAATCTGAATTCTGAAAGTGGGCTGAAAACAATGGAGTTAATAAATACAAGGATATAATGGTTGAACAGTTTGACACTAGTAAAATCTGTACCCCTTACTAAATGTTTTTTTGAAGAAAAAAAAAAATGAAATTTTAGAAAGAGTTCATGTGATTAGTAAGACACATATTAACTTTATTTTTTAAAAAAGGAAGACAACAAAATAATTTAAAATTATTTAAGAAAATATCTTCTTTTTATTTTCAATCCATTAATTATAAAGTCATACTAATCCATGTGCAAGATAATTAGTTTAATCAATGATAATGTGTTCATGAAATCTGCTCACTGAGAGTGAGAGTGCAGTTATCAGTGTGTAAGTCACTGTTATTTTGAAAGAAATTCAACACAAAATTGCTTATTACTTGATATTGACAACTGTACATCATAATTCATTTTTTTTTTCGGTCAACTCCATCATTCACTTGTTTGTTTCAATTTATTAGAGTTTCTATACAAAATATTCCAGCTGTCATTTAAGAGTCAGAGTTTGAGCAATTTAATACCTTGGCTTCAAGGCAAATGGCTAACATCAACTGCAAAGCTCTGTTATTTGTTCATAACTGGTCATGAATAATCTAATCTAAACTGGAATGTATATCTATATACACCAACACAAAGCATTAAAATTTAAATTTATACAGACACAATTTCAATATCAGCTTTTATTTGAAATTCTTGATTCCAACATTTTGTAAATTGTTAAAAAAACTATTTAAATATTAGAATATGAAAACTTTATTAAAAAAAAATCTTTAGAATGTGTGGATGGATTGAACTTCAGATCACCTAGTGATACATAATTATTTGAGATTCAAAGTAAAATTTTTCATAAGCACTGTTAAAAATATAAAACACATTATCAATAAAAATACTTTGCTAATTGTTTTATCAGTTTATGTTTATATCATTACATTTCACTTGGCACTTGTAAAACGTTTACATCACATAAACTAACAAACAGCTGTCAGTCACCCTGCAAATATCAATATTATCAAACACAACACAACTTTAAACCATTTTTACAGAGAATAAAATTTGCATTAACCTTTCATAAACGTGTAGGATGGTTTAAACTGGATTCTATCTAAATGTTAATTGATGCTAACTGAAAATACAATTATGATTGTTTAAAGCAAAATAAATTACATTCATTACTTCCAACATTAGGACAAAGCCATGTAAATTTGCTTCTAATGTAAAGTCAATAAAGCCACAAAAAAGGCAAGTTAACATAATTTACAGTAAATGCAAACAACATATATTTGATAGTTTAAGATCCACAGCTTTATAACAGTTTATATAAAAAATAATAAAATAGGTTTTCAAATGATAAATGGACAATTCATTTTTGAGTGACCAATAAAAATACTTTCCATTACAGCAGTTCAACAACATTAAATCAAATGCAAAGAAAGGCAAAACAACATGATGATTTTTATGTTTTCGTGATCACATATCTGAGCTAAGTGATGATTCAGTGCTAGTCTTTATCAACAAGAGCCAAAGATCCGTAATAAAGAAAACCTGTGGTTATTTTTAAAAAGAAGTGGAAATGAAAGTGAATTCTGATCAGTTGGCAAATATTTGAAATAAACAGATGTGGCTAAAATATTTTTAACGAATTAAAAATATGGGACTCCGCATCATAAATAATCAGGTGATTGCCCTAATTACATGCATCTTAGCTAGAGGTCATGGTTGGTTTTAATTGATATATTCCTGAGGTCAATGGCTGTAAAATGTATTCATCGCTTGATGGTACTTGCAGCTGTCTAGCTGTTATTGTAAGTCTCCAACTATCTCAGGTGACTCTTTGTTTCTAACTCGTTATTGGACAGTCTTTCTAATTCTTTCAGTTAACTCTTTCTTGTTGTAGAACTTGATTCACTAAAGCCCTGCCATGCACTGTGAAATCTCTATGTCCCAAAACCTTGATTAGCATCATCTGAAATTCACAAGTACATTTCTCAACACAATTCTCTATTATTATTTTTTTATAATTCAAAGCCTAATTTCTTCAGTAAAGAAAAAAAAAAGGCCCAGTGTTTTGTTATCTGTGGAATAGAAGCTGACACACATGTGACATTGGTGGTAATATTTCATGTACCGGTAGCTGATGAATTTTAAGTTGTTATACTTATTATAATTTATTAAGTTGGTCTTGGGGTATAATTAAGGGATGAGACGATTGTTAACTTACACATTTTAGACATTATTTCTTTTTAATGGAGCTAAGGTGTTATTTAAATCCCTAAAAAACAAAATAAAGTTCAAGGTTGGATGTGATATAATGAATAATCTTAGGGGGAATAAAATTTGTCACTAGTGAAATAACAAGTACATAAGACTTTCCATGAGTTATTTGAGATTTTTAGATGTTTTTTTCAGGTGTCTAAGAAGTTAAGGTGTAGTTTTACAGGGGATGGGTTTTTCATTTCTGCTTTAAATGTCAAAGTGCGTTCTGTATTATCCATTAGTTTTAGAAATCTTTTTTGTAATATGAGAAGGACAGCGTTCACCTCCATTGTGTTTGGATCTTTGCGGCCATACAACTTTATGACACTCTTGGCTGCCTCAATGACATCTTGCGTTATATCACAGTGACTGAAATGAATTAAGATTTAAGACAAACTTCAAAATGTACTAAATTTGACCACATTAATAAAAAAATAAATTTTTTTGTAAATACAAGAGAATAATAAGTTTTAAAAAGATTTAAATGGTTATTTTTGTTAAACATTGATGCAGGAAACATGCATTTCAACTAAAATTCTATCTGTAGTGGCTAAGGTGCATCATTGATTAGAAACAAATTAATATCAGATAAATAGCATGAACATGTTTTCAGCTGTGGTGGCTGTAAGGACTGTGATGTGGTGGCTGTAAGTACTGAGATGTGGTGGCTGTAAGTACTGAGATGTGGTGGCTGTAAGTACTGAGATGTGGTGGCTGTAAGTACTGAGATGTGGTGGCTCTAAGTACTGGCACAACAGATAACTTACTCGGGGGTGGTTTGTTCTTTTTTGTCCTTCTTGAAAGTGACTCTCTGAGCTCGTGTGTACAGAGTAACAGAATTTTCTGAATCTGATGTGGAATCATTGCCTTTGATCTCTTGAGATTCCTGTAATATCATTAATATGTAAAAAATAAATACATGAGGTTCCTGTCAGTGTAATGTCATTAAAATGTACATAATAAATAAATGAGAATCCTGTCAGTGTAATGTCATTAATATGAACAATAAAATCAAAGGATGCATCATCTTTAAGATATTTTTGCATCTGCATTTAAAAAGATAGTTTTTTTTAATGACACCTATCTATTTTTGTTTTGTGTGAGCCTGGCTGGACAGCTAATTTCTAATGTAACACAACAAAAGTCATGAAATAAATATGGGGATATATTGAGATGTTTAGTAAGTAAGGGAGATTTAGCTGAAGTTCTATTTACCTTGTCAGATAGTTTTTTAGGACCTAACCTTGACCTCAGCCACTGGGCAGACTCTTCAGCAAGCTTTTCCATGAACTGGTTGTCTGATTGAACATTTTATAAAACACTAGAACAAGAGCAGTTGGTCAATTAATATATGTGTAAATAAAAAAATCACTTTCTTGTTGCCAAATAAATCATCCTGGATACATAAGATCTATTAAAATGCAGCGGTGTAGCCTAAATTTTGCAGAAGATAAACTGTAATGAGCTCTGAATGCCAATTTCGTTAAACAAAATCAAAGCCCAATTTATTAACACAAAAAGAGCAGAGATTAATGAGAGGAGAGGGTATAAAGTGTATGCCCACCCCCGCATTGATTTGCTTATTATACTTACATTAAAACTTATAAGTCTTACAGTGACGTGGCAGACCTAAACTAGGTTTTGCACTGCATCAGCGTAATGAGATCAATTATTTAAAAAAAAACAACAATGTATTCCTGTACAGTTATGTTTATGCTATGTAACAAGACTTAATTATTCTCACAATCAGCCTATTTAATACATATTAAAATCTTTAGCAGTTAATCATTACCCAAAGCGGAAGGTATTCTAATGCTGTAGTTTTAATCATTACCCATAGTAAAAGGTATTCTAATGCTGTAGTTAAAGTCATTACCCATAGTGGAAGGTATTCTAATGCTGTAGTTTTAATCATTACCCATAGTGGAAGGTATTCTAATGCTATAGTTTAAATCATTACCTATAGTGGAAGGTATTCTAATGCTATAGTTTAAATCATTACCCATAGTGGAAGGTATCAAAGTGGAAGTCTCAGGCTCCAAAATTGTCCACTCGTCATCATGTAATGTACTACTTCCTGTTGAATACACTGTTTCTTGTTGTGATGAGGCTGAAGAATGCAGCATGCTGGTCTGCTTGGGTGATTTCGATGCAGTGTTACTCTTAGAATAGCTAAAATGTTCGCTTTCATTCTCGTATAATTTGAGATTGGAATTTTGATGACGATGATTACCAGTTTTATCCACCAAGGCCGGCATGATCACATCTTCATGATTTAATTTTTGTGGGCGTGGATGAGGCAGTGGACGTTGAGGAATATCTGGTAGATGACTTGTAGTGTTAGGGCCAGATTTCTCTTCGAAATCTCGCACCGCTTGCTGTAACAAATTGCTGTCAACCATGAACTTATCTAAACTTTTAAACTGGTCAGAAACAAATGGTCTGCCTTGAATTTGCTGCAAAGAGAAAATAGAAAAGATCAATGTCATATTTAGAAACAAAAGAAAAAATACTTTTAAGATTCAAAACTTTATTGTTATGTTTGACACCTTGCTTTATTTCTATGTGTGTTGAGGTAGAGTGGGCAGGTGAGTTTCAATGCCAAGCCCCTACAGGTGGTTCAGGTTCTTTAACTAAGGGCTTTACTTTCTGCCAATTTTACTAGAGTGATGCTAGATAAATTCAAACCTGCTTTCTTTCAGATATGTTTGACACACTACACTGACACTAAGATGACAGGGGTATTGGATACCCCCTCCCTCTTCTCCCCCCCACCCCTAAAAAAACCCCACCTAAATATAAAAAATATTAAAACGCCTTTCTAAGATTTTGTTGACATTCCTGCCTTAAAAAATTTAGACCATAAGAAAACTTTTCTCATACTCGCAAAGAAATCTGACCGAATAGAATATTTAGAAAATAAATAGTGAATTTAAAAATATTTCTTAGAAGAAATCGCTGCTTTTTTTTTCTTTTTTACATTTTATTGAAAAATAAATATTTTTTAATTACATAAGATTCCTTACCCATTTCACAATATATTTAAAAATAATAAAAATTGATAAGTACTAGAGTTAATTTTTTAGGATGAGAAATTCCACTTACACAGACATAGAAAAGAACATCTGTTGCATCTGGTCGTTTTTTAGGATTGACTTCTAAAATAGTGCGCACCAATTGTTGAAGGATGAGACTGTATATGTTGGGCATTGGATCAATCTGTCAAAACACAAAACTATTTGACCCCTCTAGACTTTATGGTAAACTTTAATTAGTATTATTAATTATTAGTATAAATGAATTAAAATATGTTATGATTTTTATTGCCATGAAAAATAAAAATCAAACTTGAATCTGTAAAATAAATTCCAATCTCATGTCAACCGCATAAAGAAAAGGGTCATAAGTACCTTGCATTTTGTGATTTTATTCATTACATCATGAATGCTGATTCCACTGAAAGTAGGGCATAGGGTCATCACCTCATGAACTACACAGCCCAAGCTCCAAACATCAGTCTGACATTTTTGGAAAATATAAAGTGCATATGAATAAGTTTTTTTTAAATTTACAAATATGAATAATTCAATGTATTTAATTTGTATGTAGACAACACATTTACGTCATCTTTCACGTGAATTAACTTTAGATGACCCCAAGTTCGGTGCTGCTTATAGGGTGTGGCTAAATAAAAATAGTCTCCTTGACCTTGTTTACAACTAAATAAAATCTATAGCCTGTATTATTAGAATCCTATAGAAATATCAAGACAAATCAGGAAAGGAATTCAATGTGTAAGCCCACTTGAGAAATGTCTCTGAAACAGGCTATATATATGCATAGAGAGATATTTTATTATCACTGTTACGGCAGAAATATTTGCTATCCACATTACGAGAAAAATATTTGTTTATTTACCGTGTGTGTATGTTCCTATCTTTTGTATTGTTTGTCAACGAAGCATTAGACAAATATGAGATTAAATTCTCTAATCCGACAACGGTATGTAACAAATGTTTAGTACTTCAATTTAAAACAAATTAAAGATAATAAATTTTAATTTTATATTAATTCAAATGAGAACTATTAAAAGTGTAGCTGTACCTTTGTAGTGTAACGCGAAGTTTTTAATATTTCAGGACTCATGTAGATATAACTACCAATGAATGTTTCTGCATACTGGATTGTAAAATCTAATTCTCTGGGGAAAAAAAAACAATGTATTTATCATAAAATGTGATGTACTATACAGATATATTTAAGGACAAAAAGATTTGGATATAAAATTTACATATTTATTTAAATCTTAAAAACGTGATTTAAAACCTTATTTATTGAATATTTTTTAAAACAATTAATAAGAAAGTTTAAATAAAATATCTTTGTTAAATCATCTTTTCCTCACCTGGCAATTCCCAGGTCACCAATTTTAACATTTTGTCTGTCATCCAGAAAGATATTATCGGTCTTAATATCCCTATGAACTATTTTACTGGCATGCAGATACTGTAATATTTCACAGGAAATAATGACATGCAAGACCACTACCAAGGTAGAATAATCAATACAAGAATTAGTACAAGTGCACTCCTAATATAGTGGAAAAAGATATTTTAGCAGAACAAAGGATATATAAAGCACACTGTATGTTAAAGCTTGAACTGAGTCAAAACAGTACAAGGAGCAAGTTAAAGGGCTTAAACTAAATGCCATCCCCAGTTGATTAAGTTTTTAAAATAATTAGCCTATATCTAAAGTCAAGCTTATATTACATATATCCTTTAATACATAGCCATGCTTTTAAAATAATGAGAAACCCTTACTATTTTTATATAAACACAGAATCTTTTTAAAAAAATTTATAATTTGAATTTTTATTTACATCTTAACCTACATTTTTTAGCCCTGAATAATTAATTCTATTTTTTCAAGATGACACCAAATAACATAATTCAAATGATGCTTTTGCAAGGAATATATTCAATGAAGCTTACACGTAAAACATCAGCCATCTGCCCCAGCCAGAGGATAACTCTCTCCTCTGGAACATGACTTTTCGCAGATGCTTTTCTCTTGAGGTAGTCTTTAAGGGATCCGTACTGACACCACTCTGTGATAAGGTACAGGTGACTGTTGATTGAACAGAATGCACAGCACTGTACCAGGTTTGGATGTCCAAGCTTCATCATCAATTTAGCTTCAGAGTTCACATCCTTGTCTGAGACATCTTTCAGCTTGCTTGTATCAGAAACTTTCAGCGCATACTGAAAAAAAAATGTAAGTGTTATTAAGGATAAACAAAAGTTAATAATACATAAAATCCAACTTAATATTTAACCAAAAATACAGCAGAACTAAACAGTTTATGTTATAAGCCATTAAATGCACATTGCCATTAATTTATATATTCTGTTTTTTTATGTAGTATGGAGCCTCTTAACCTATGCTAGGGCAACGGGCTTAGGAATATAAGATGTATAGCTATGCAGTGCTATTGCATGCTTCCACAACTTTACTCTCACTAATTTTCAGAAAAATGAAGTTCCATAGACATACTTCTTTTCCATCAGCAGTTTTCAAGAGATAGACTTGTGCAAAGCTTCCACTGCCCAGCCTTTTTAATATCTTGTACATTGTAGAGCCCTGGACAAGTTATAAAACTCACCAAAACCTAGAAAAATAATAGATTTGATGGATAAGGAACATTCATTATTAATATTATTGTTGAAGAGGCCAATTTAAGTAATTCCACGCTTAATAATAAGCTTGTGTCTTATCCTACTACTGACTGTAAAGTTATACACTATGCCTATAAGGTATTGTCCTATGTCTTTTTTTAATCTAACCAACAATGTCCATATCATGGCATATCTCCTTTAGGTTGAGCCTTGGGTTTGATGGCACATGAGATTAATTTTTCATGATCCTTACGCCTACTGGGCAAAATTATTTTATTTACGTCTAAGTTTAATTAGTTTAACGATACTATAACCTTAAACTTTAAGTTAGGTAACAGTTAATATTATACAGAATCACTGGGCTTGCAACTAACCTAACATTATGTATGCAAAGCTGATCTAATTCTAAACCTTAATTTTTATCCAAGGCTAACTTTAACTTCTTCAGGAATTAAGTATTTTAATTTCATCTGTTTCATATTTTATTATAAGTCTAAGGCTGCGGCTATTCGGACCCGGGTATAAGAAGTGAGAGTTTAGGTTAATTAATAAATATTAAAAATATTATTATAGGGTTTGTAAGACAAAATTAGGTATCAAATGAAAGATAATTGAATGTACTATATTTTGGTAAACTTACTTCTTCAGTTTAATTAAAATAAACTAACACAAATGACATCCGAATAGCATTATTACACGGACACGCATAGCCGCTATTGAACCCGTGTCCCTTTAGACTCAATGCTAATCGGATGTCATTTGTGGTAGTTTATTTTAGTTAAACTGAAGTTTCTCTGAAGAAGTAAGTTTACAAACATATAATCCATTCAATTATCTTTCATTTGATACCAAATTTTGTCTTACACTTAAAACCCTACAATAATATTTATTATATATTATATTTAAAAAAAAATTTTTAATCCCAACCTCCCACTTCTCAGACTTCTGGGACCCGGGTCCAAATACCCACTTTGTATGTCTAAACAACAAATAAATAATAATGATTTCTAACATTAAATTATTAGGCATTAGGCCTAAGCCCTAGACTAAAAATGTAAAAATACTATTATAACTATAATAAAAGTGAATAGTGAATAGGCCTAATATATTATTTACAAAACCTAAATTATTATTAGTATTAGGCCTTGCTGACTGTTAATCTATTAATTATATAATATACAGCCAATATAGCTATTATAAGTTATCTACTAATATTAATAACTAATAAGTATATAAATAAATGACATAAGTTGACATAAGTTGAGTCTTTTATAGATAAGTATTAGTATTACACCTGCCCCTAGTAAAAGCATACCCCCTTCTAGTCTCTAGCTTTCCCCTTTGCGTACTAACTCTAACTCTAATCAAATCAAGTTGAGCTCGATAACAATTAAATTAAAATAATTACTTGAATTACTGTTGTTAATGAATTGTCTAGGCTTAGGCCGAACTTAGGCTGCTCAATCAATTCAATATAATTCGATTTTTAGAAAATGATTGAATTAAATATTTATTTAAAAAATCTTACCGGCTTTCTTTATTATCATTACTTAACACTTTTATAAAACCATAGGCATAGGCGATCTCAAGATACAGTTTCTGACTAGGCCGTTCGTATGAGTCATTCACGGATGCTAAAATTTAAAAATAATAGTTTTTCACTTTTCAGACAGACAGTTCAGACAGAAGAGGAAAACCGAAATGAAAATTAGGGCCTACCTGTAATTTTAAAACCGTTATTCTACTATGTAACTATGTCGTTTCATTATAATCTAAATATAATAATATAATGAAATAGTTCTTTAGTTTAATTATTATAAAATCATTAAATTAAAGCTTTGCAATCCTCTCAGTCAGTGGTTGCCGGTACCATTTGGTTGCTTGTTTTCTTCTAAAAAAAATGCGACGGACGTAATGTAAACAATTGTCCTGTCAATGCGGAAGTAAGTTACGGTGACAAAATAAATATTGATCTCAAATCAATAGACATTTTAGTCCCAGGTGTAACCAAGTAGTATGCAAAAAAAAAAATAAAAAAAAAATAACAATAATAAATATAATCGAAAGAAACCAAGCGTCGGCTGCATAAAAAAGCACTGAATAAATTATAAAGAATGGCTGTTTATTCAGTTATTTATTTTTTTATAGTATAGGCATATTAAACAGTGGCTAGGGATTTGGGGGCCCGGAGGCTTGGCCTCTTTAGGGGGCCCCTTCATTTTGACATTCGACATTATTTAATGGAAAAAAAAATTCGGACACTGCTTTGGGGCCCCCTTAAGTAGGGGCGGGGGGGGGGGGGGTCTTTCACATTTGTACCCCCCTCCCCTAGTGGGGGCCCGGAGGCTTGGCCTCTTTGGGGGGCCCCTTTATTTTGACATTCGACATTATTTAATGGAAAAAAAAATTCGGACCCTGCTTTGGGGCCCCCTTAAGGGGGGGCGGGGGGGGGGGGGGTCTTTCACATTTGTACCCCCCTCCCCTAGCTACGCCACTGCTATTAAATTTAAAAAAAAAAGGGTGACTGAAAGTCACGGAGACATGCCCGACATGCAGTTCAGTGTGGGGTGAAAAAAAGGTGGAGGTGGAGCGAGGGAGCACATTTTAAATCTATTTGTTGTGAAGATGGCACCCTGAAGATGGCGCCCTGAAGATGCCTGAAGATGGCGCCCTGAAGATGGCACCCTGAAGATGGCGCCCTGGGCGGACCGAGATAATAAAAAATGCCGCTCCTTTATATAAGGAATAAGAAGTTGTCTCCCAGGGAGGGGCGGAGGGCCTCTCGTCACCCCTTCTCACACCAAAGTGCAAAAATTCATGTTTTTTCCTCGGGAGAAGCTTTTGCTTGCCACGGCCCTATCAACTATGTATTATATAATAATAAAATATAGACATAGTCCAAGTCCTAGTATGATTCAATCATGCCTACAAAACATTTCACTGATTAAAATTTAAATTAATGTTTGTATCCCTTCTTCTGTTAGAGCAAAGGACTGCTTGCTTTATTATGCATCATTAATAGTTCGCGTTTTTAATCTATTGATCTCACATTGGTTCCACCGTCTTGTGGAACTACATACCACACTACATTAAATACGCCTTGTCTTTCTAAATTGGTTATCGATGGACTTTTGAATGACATTCTGCTCAATAACGTTTCAAATACATCGGAACCTCGGTTAAGGAACTTAATACGCACCGAGACCATAGACATATATTTATAGCTCTGTGACCGAGACTCAATTCTAAAACCGAAACATTCGCTAACTGAAATAAATATTCCCGCTAAAATCAAAGTAAATTCAATAATTATTATGATTGTAAAGTGTTGTTCTATAATGGAAAATATTTCATTTTTTCTGCACCAACAGCCTCTCCTTGTTTTACTGAACTAGGAGTTCTTCAGTGAAGTTTATCCAAACACCATCTAATCGTTTAAGTTAAGCCTTAAGTCTCCAGCTTCGGCACTTGTAGACCAACTCCATATTTTGGCCAAAAAGTCACCGCGCAACTGTTCTGTTAGCCTTTTCACAAATTATTGTCTCACTAACACTATCTACAAACTACGCCTAGCTGCTTTCATTCATTCTAACAACAGTATTTCTACTCTCTCTAGCACTTAAGGCATTTCCTTAGCCTTGGTTAACACAGAGATTCCTTTAGCAACAAGCATTATATATTATAACTAATCAATCAACCAATCATCACCAGCAACATATTAACAATGTTCAATTTAACTATACTTATAAAATTTATATAAATGATACAAAATAACATAGACAGACAAAAATTATAATTTACAGCACAACTAGTAAAAAAAAAGTACAATCCTCGAAAAAAATAAAAATAATAATTTACACACACACACTTAAATAGTACAATTTTCTAAGTATATTACGTCTCTTCAAATATCTAGGAAAAATAGCAAAAATCTCTCTTCCGACTAGGAAAGCTCCCTGCTTATTTCTAGGGAGAAAGTTATAACCCTCCAGAAAAGAAATTCTTGAAATGGCATCACCCGATAGCCTTTTTTTCCGAACAAATAGAACGTAAACAACATTTTCCCAATCAAGGGAGGGTGGGGTTGCTACAGCGCTAAACATTTAATCGGTGCCGTCAATATCGAGACAAAAAAAAAAAGGGAGACACTATTAATTGGTGGTCGCCACAACGCTATGTTGTCATAAAATTAGATCAAAATACAGGCTGTAACATAATAAAATTAGATCAAAATACAGGCTGTAACATAAGTGAAGGAAATAGAAGAACTTTCAATACAATTTTAGGGCGTTCTGCTTTGACATGAATCCAATAAGATGCCAGTGATGTCATGGTTGTGAAAACCATCTTTAATACTGCGTCATCAGCTAGAACCAACATTTTATCTTGCAAAGTGATATTCAACTCAGCCTTTGATGCAATAAATGGATTAAGAATACATCCGGTTCCCATCACCCCTGCATTTATGACGAAGCTGCTAAGTTGTTAAATATGTAAAAGAAATTGTGACACCTGATTCTTCCATTTCTTTAGCTTTCAGTATGGATACTCATTGTAAAGCACGAAGCCAAATTTAGTTTCATAGGTGCGCTTAGCACATTTAAACTGGCAAAAATATCAGGGACGTCATTTGGGTATGGCCTAGTGGGGCATTTGACACCCCCCCCCAAATAAATTTGCAAATTATATTTAAATTGCTGTGCATTGTGGCACCTCCAGTAATAAACAACTTAAAAAGCCGACCAAGTTTTAATTTTAACCCCCCCCCCCCCCCCAAACAAAAAAAACAACAAAAAAAACAAAAAAACAAACTGAAATGACGCTACTGAAAAATATTGACCAAGTGAGCCAACTTGGATAACCATTCCATATTTCTAAACATTTCTGCCCCATTTTTTAAATTTTATTTTTAGTTCAGAATTTCGGTAAAGCTCTCTTCGCATTTCAAAAACTCTTCATAAAACTTTCCTTTTTGAAAACCAACGTACTTCGGCATACAATAGAAGTTGTATGTGCACAGCGGCCAGTTCAGCCTCCGTGTCATCACATAATGCTTCCCCCCCCCCCTTTTCGATCAGTCGACTTGTCTGTTATGTGTTATCTGGCATCCCACTTTTACATTACTTGGGGGTTTACGGTTATGACGTAATCGTCTAACGCCAAAAATATTAAATTGATTTGGCCTTTTTGTGTGTCTTCTTTTAAGTAACAAAAAAACCCTCAACTTTTAAAACATTTGACTTCGGCGTGTAGCGAGAGCTTCCCAAGCGTACAGTGCGGGATATTTTTTTATATTAAGAACATTCTCTACTTGATACGAGACCTAAACATGCATATCCCCCCCTCCCCAAAATTGTATTGAGTAATGTTGTGCGGACAAGCTACGTAATCTCGCGGGCTGGCAACCGGTCCACGGACCCATATTTGGCCAACGCTGGGCTAGAACTCTGGATTTATAAGAAAATAATCACGCGGCTCGCCAAAATCAATTAAACGTCCATGCGCCCCACTGCACATCATTCCTGATGTCGACTGTAGTGGGTTAAGATGAAGAGGATTGGTTCAATGGAGTTAATAAGGGAATCGGGTTTATTCCATTGTTGTGGATTTGAAGTAGCGTAACACTCCCCCATCCCCCTCCCCAGGCCACCTCGCCCTTTTTTTTTTCAGAGGAATGTAGACCCAGACTGGACAAATCACGAACACTTTAAGGGCAAGCATGGGTTTGGGGTTGGGGGGGGGGGGGGGGGAGGTGGCATTAATTTGCCTTACAGGATTAACAACCCAATAAACCAATCACATTTTATTCAAACAATNCTTTAAGGGCAAGAATGGGTTTGGGGGTGGGGGGGGGGGGGAGGGATGTGACATTAATTTGCCTTACAGGATTAACAACTCAATATACCAATCACATTTTATTCAAACAATTTATCCGCAGTAATATCGTTCCGCAGATCCATAAAAAAAAGCCTCGGCCCTGTATCTCAAAGGTCAAAGGTCATGTTGGTCGCATCCTTGAAACCATGGAATGGGTTCGGACCACGGGATAATATTGCCGGGAATGTGACAATGCATTTCCGTTCAGTTTCAGTTTTGCCGTATTTCCCCACTTCAGGTTTACTGTTCTCAGACGCTCCACCCATAATAAACGATGTTGGTTTACTTAAGTTTACAAGTTAAAAATAATGCGCGTATCCTTTCCATAATGTCTATTGGTGTTTTTTTGTTTAAGTGTACCTCCATGTACTTATCATTGACGCATAGACCTGTATGCTTGTTTGATTTGAGCGTCATCTCTATGTCATACGTGTAAACGTAATATTAACTATAGTTAATTGGATAGAGCTAAAATATATTATTTATACATTTTTTTCCCCTGAATGAAAAAGTAAAATCCTTCTTTTATAAAAAAATTAAAATAATTTTTAAAAAATTATTTAAATTTAAAAAAAAAAGGATTGTTGTACATTTTAAGACATCAACAGGAAATAATATTTTCGCTAAAATTATCTCACCTACTATTAAAAAAAAGAAAGAAAAAAGAAAGGAAACAAGTGCAAGTTTTCTTTGAACAGCCCTTGACTGCATTCCTTGCGGACAGTGGCGACTGATTATGAATTAAAACTACGGTACTTAACTTGTCATTCTGATGCTGTCTAAATTGGAGGTGAAAGAGAAGCTGTAAATAAGGGGAGATGACAATAATATATTGGCTCTAACGAAATGTTTAAGTAGTTATTTCCCTTGTTTGATAACTCTTCATCCGAAGTTCCATAATTTCTGCACAGCACGTTATAGATAGAGGTGATTCCACTATTACTATATTTGTCCTTCAATTCATCGCCAATACACACAGACGTGCGTTGT